TTTGCTGAAGCACTGCATAGTTCGAGTGTCTTTTGATCTAAAAGACTCATTTTCTAGAACAAGTTGGGGGGATGTTCAGCCTATGGCTGTATAAGACCCATGAAATCATTGGGTTTGACCCTGCGAAAGCAACCACTGTTCCAGCCATCACACTGTTGTTGTTGTTGTTGTTGTTTAGTACCATTGAGCCAGCTTTGACTCATAGCGACCCAGTATAGGGTTTCCAAGGAGCAGCTGATGCGTTGGAAACACCAACCTTGTGCCTCAAACTGACCTTGCAGTCCAGTGCTTTACCCGACAGCACCACACCAGGACTCCTAGCTATCATATTGTTGTTGTTGCTCTTACTACAGTCAAGTTGATTCAGGCCCATGGCAAGCTGTGTAGGGTTTCTGAGGAGCAGCTGGTAAGCATGAACCACCATGCTGGCAGCTTAAACCAACTTTTCAGTTCAGTGTATTAACTCATAGTTCCACACCAGGAATCCAGCCATCATATTGTTGTTATGTGCTACCGAGTCAGTACCGACTCATAGTGACCCTATACACAATAGAACGAAGCACTGCCCGGTCCTGGGCTAACCTCACAATTCTTGCCATACTTGAGCCAACTGATACTGCCACTTTGCCAATTCATCTCTTTGGGGTCTTCCTCTTATTCTTTGACCCTCCACCTTACCAAACATGATATTTCTCTCCAGTGACTGGTCCCTCCTGACAATATGTCCAAAGTATGAGAGACAAAGTATCCCCATCCTGGCCTAGAAGGAGCACTCTGGCTGCACTTCTCCCAACATGGATATGTTGGTTTTTGGCAGCCCATGGTACTTGAAGTATTGTCCTCCAACACCATAACTCAAATGTGCCAATTCTTCTACGGTCTTCCTTATTCACTGTCCAGCTTTCACATCAATATGAGGTTATTTAAAATACCATGGCTTATGTTAGGCATACCTTAGTCCTCAAGCTAACATCTTTGCTATTCAACACTTTAAAAAGATCTTATGCAGAAGATTTGCCTAATGCAATACATCGTGAGTTAATTAAATGTTTGACCAAATATAGTAGGCTAATTTTAAGTTAATATTTTGTATGACCTTTCAATGATGTCAAAAATTGGGGTGGAAAAAAAGGTTCCCCACTCCTGTTCTAGAATTATATCAGCCAATATTCTGCTGTGATCCATAGGGTATTAATTGACTAATTTTTGGAATTGAATAATTTGACCTTTCAACTAGTCTGTCTGAGTCTGGACATTTTACTGAAACCATAGGTAACCCTGCTGGTATTTGTAATACTGTTGGCATAGCTTCCAACATGATAGTAACATGGAAGCTATTACACTGTGACAAACTTAAACATGGGTGGTGTGAAAACCCTTAGACTACAGAAAATCAAGAATAGATCCAAGGCTAAATTTTAAGTCCTTTGCAAAGCAGATCTCAAGATGGTCAACATGTGCAAGACATTTATTAAGTTAAATTGTAAAGGAAGATAATATTGAAGAAAACAGGAGATGGTAAGAGAGCTTCAGACTTACAAATAGCTCTGAAAACTATAAAATAACAGAGGAAGGGGTGAAGAACAGGGTAGTAGTAGAGCTTTAGACTGTAGCACAGCTCTGAAAATCCTCAACAAGCCTGTAAGGAGTTCTCTTGGTTAAAGTGGCCTGTCAGAGGATCCATGTATTTGTCAGAATAGATCTGGCCCAATTCCACATGGTATATCTACTCATCATTTGCGGACAGCCTAGAGTGAGTGTGGCCTCAACATGAATATTGTGTGGTTTAGAAAGTTACAGCATTTGTAGGTGGTCAGACAAATAAACTCCCAGCAGCCTGTTCTTTTGAAGGTTTGCAATCCATGGTCACCATGCCAGACACATGATGAAACCCAGCAATAGTACAAAGAAAAGCTAAGATAAACAAAGATAGCAATTCTCCCTGAGGTTACTTCTGGAAAGGTTAGACAGCATTAGAAGAATTATAGTCAATAATTCAGATATTAGAAAGCTACTATAAAGGAATAGTATCAACATGTGATAGATACATGTATTCTAAATATTGATGACAATTTAAAAATCTTACACAAACAAAATATGATCAATATAATGATTGGTCTATAAAGCTTTAGAACGATTATTGGGGAGGGGAGCTAAAAAGGAGACATATTGAGCACATTGAGTATCCATCTAAGTCAATCATTAACCAGAAAAAGGGTAAGGGGAAATATAGGAAATGAAAAAACAAAACCAAACCTTGTGGAATAAAATTTCTGTATCTGAAGAAGGATAGGAATTTTCAGAATGAAAGGGCTTACTCTTTCCAGGAAGACACAAGTAAAAACAAAAACACACACTTCTAGCCACATCCTTATGAAATTATATGAATCAAAAATGAACATATAAAGTTGCCAGAGTAAAACAACAACAACAAAAAAAGTTTTGCATCAAATGAGCTGGATTCTAACCAACATTAGTTTCTCATCAAGAACAATATGTGAAAATAATTTAAACCAATAAAATCTATGATTTATGGGAACATGATTTTGAACTTAAAAATGTTTATCAAAATAATCTTTACAAAAGAATAAAATAAAATAATTTCAAAATGCAAATTAAAAAGTGTAGCTTCTATAAAATGCTCTGATAGGAATGGTTTGAGACAGATTTCTTAAAAAATACAATTCAAAGGGAGAGGATGTCATGGGAAGGGACTGCAAAAGAACCACCCAGTTATAGGCTTATAAAGTCACTGGTTTATAATGAACATAAATATGAAAAATTAGAAACTTCACAAAAAAGTTCAGGAAGCTATTTAAGAAAAGGTATGGTCAAACACTAAGTCAAATTAAAATGACTTGAAGAAATTAATACAGTATAAGAAACAAGAATGCTTTTTACTTTGATGCTTGGGGCATTTTAATAACATGAGAACACGTTCTATCTTTATGGAGTTCATAACTTTACTAAGTTAGGCAGTGAATTCTGTTTACAAAATCATAGTATTATAGAAAATACCAGTTGGTTTTCAATGGTTAGTACAAATCTGTAAACAAAATATGTTGGTTTTGTTCCCTGGAAATATATTACTATCTACTACTATTTCTTTGCTTATTCTCTAAGACACTAACATTCATGAATAAACCATGCAAACTCTGACTTATAGCCAGCTCTTTAAAACCACTTCTAACAATACCAGCAACATGTCTGACATGATTCTGATCTATCAGGCACTTTAATATCTTTGTATTACATATTTTAGATATTCTACTTTGCAATGGGTATTTTTTACACTTTGGATCAAGTTGTTCATGTACTTCATTTCCTGCTCTTCAGTTCCCATTCCTGACTTTACTTACAAACTTTTCCAACTGAATCAACATTTTCCATCATTATAATAATCATTCTTGTAGCCCTTGTTTTCTCCATTGCCAAAATTCAAATTCTGAATGAAACCTTCCTCTACTTTCTCTGCACCAGAAAAAAAATACCATATTTAGTGTGAAATGACCATATAACCAACCAGACACTTTACATAAATTCATGAAAATAACTTCAAATGTATGTTAAATAATACACAGCAACCTCACTGTGTCTCTTTGTTGTTGTTGTTGTTGTTAAGTGCCTTCGAGTCGGTTCCGACCTTAAGATTCGCAGCCCAATTCGTAACCACTACGCTACCAGAGCTTCTTAGTGCACTCATTTTCTCATGGCCTCTGGTAGTGATTTCACATCCACTCAAGTCTTCAACATCTTCACAGATGATCTTGCTGTATATCTATAGATCATATTCATTGGAAAAGAAATATTTTCTCACCATATTATCTACATTTAAACTAAAATTCTGTTTTAACTTCCTGTTTGAGTGGATGAAGTATCCCTCTAGAAATAAAAGTCCACTTTTACTCTTGTACTACAGAATTACCACTCCACACTCTCAGATTCTGTTATTTTGCTTACTCATAATTTTCCTGCAGTATTACTACAGGCTATCCTTGTGTTACAAATCAGATTACTTCCTAAATGTGTCTTTAAATTGATTTGATAGGTTAGTTGAAACAGGAGCACTCTCATCTTATTTAGCCTTACAAGAAAAGCTCAGTCTTTCAGTGATTCAAAAGCTGCACATTACACATTGACAGATTTTGATGAAGAATTTATTGAGAGTAGAAGTTAGTTCTTGGACCCCTGGTGATAATATGGAATAAGCCCTAGGCTTATGAAGGCTGACAGTTCAAACCCACCAGCCACTCCATAGAGCAAATCTACCAAGTGTTCTTAAAGAGAAAGATGAGGCTTTCTGCTCCCATAAATATTTACAAACTTAGGATCCCTATAGAGGGTTATTATGAGTCTGAATCGACTTGCTGACAGTGTTGTTGGTTTTTAGGGGTAAGTTCAATACTCTCAAAGTGAGGACAAATTTACAAGATTTTAAAGGGCAAATATGAATTGTCTGTAATAGGATATTAATAGCCACTTGATTCACCAGATGGAATACTCAAACATTAAATTGACTACATATCTGAAAAGACATGGTGGATCAGTACCATGTCATCAGTTAAGGCAAAGTCAGTGGCAGACCAAGGAACAGACCATCAGTTGCTCGTATGTCATTTCAGGGTGAAGCTGAAGAAAATTAAAACAAGTCCACAAGAGCACACAATTAACTGTTCTGGAATACCCATACTTCTAAATGTTTCATAGCTTGTCATGATCCCCACAGTCGAAAGCCCTTGAATAGTCAATTAAGGACAGGTAAACATCTTTCTGGTATTCTCTGCTTTTCAACCATGATCTAGCTGACATCAGCAACAATATCTCTAGTTCCATGTCTTTGTCTAAATCTGGCTTGAACCTCTGACAGTTATCTGTCAACGTAATACTGCAGCCATTTTTTAATTATATTGACCAAAATTTTACTTGCATGTGATATTAATGATATTGTCCAAAAATTTCTGCATTCTTTTGGGCCACCTCTCTTTGGAATGGGCATAAATATGGCTGTTTTACAATCTGTTGACCTGGAACAGTCATCCGAATTTCATGGCATAATTGAGTGAGTGCCTCCAGTGCTGCCTCAGTTTGCTGAAAGATCTTAATCTGTATTGTATGAATTCTGAGTTCTTTGTTCTTGGTCAATGCCTCTTGTGAACCTTGTACTTCTTCTTTCATCACCACTGGCTCTTTGTCATAGGCTACCTCTTGGAATAGTTGAGTACCAACCATTTCTTTTTGGTACAGTGACTCTGTGTATTACTAACTTCTTCTTTTCATATTTTTGCATCATTAAACACTTTGTTCAAAGAAGCCTTCAATATTGAAAGTTAAGGCTTGAACTGACTTACTAATATTGGTCTTCCCTCTGATTCTCTAAGTTCATTAATTTGCAAATTTCGTTACAATATTTGACTTTGTCTTCTTGATCTTCCTTCTGAAATTTTCTGTTCAGCTACTGTACTTCCTCATTTATTCCCATTATTTTGGCATCTCTATGCTGGAGAGGAAGTTTCAGAGTGACTTCTGACATTAATTTTGGTCTTTTCTTTATTTCTTGTCTACTTAATGAACTTTTGCTTTCTTCTTATATGATATGGTTGATGTCATCCCATAACTCTTCTGGTCTTTGTTCAGTAGTGTTTAATGAATAAAATCTATTCTTCCGATGATCTCTAAATTCAGGTTGGATATTTTCAGGGTTGTATTTGGCTCTCATAAACCTGATTTACTTTTCTTCAGCTTCAGCCTGAATGTGTGGATGAGCAATTGATGGACTGTTCTCCACTCTGCCCTTGGTCTTGTTTTGACTTGTTTCCACTTTCTCTCTCCATAGATATAGTCAATATGATTTATTTTTATTCCATCTGGTAAAGTTCCTGTGTATAATTGTCTTTAAATTGTTTGAAAAAGGCATTTGCAATGAGAACGTCATTGACCTTGCAAAATTCTATCATGGGATCATCATTTTTATCATCAAGGCCATATTTTCCAACTACTGATCCTGTCTCTTTGGTTCCAATCTATGCATTCCAAATACCAGTAAGTATTAATATTTCATGATTCCATGTTTGATCATTTTCAGAGTGAAAAAGTTGGTGTAATTCTTCAAATTCATCATCATTGTATTTAACGATTGGTGCATAAAATTGAATAATTAACTGGTCTTACTTTTAGGCATATGAATATTATCCTATCACAGACAGCATTATGCTTCAAGGTAGATCTTGAAATGTTCTTTTTGATAGTGAATGTGACACCATTCTTCTTCAATCTTTCATTCCCAGCATAGTACATCATTTGATTGTCAGATTCATAATGGCCATTTTCAGTCCTTTTCAGCTCACTATTGCCTATGATATTGATGTTTATGTATCCCATTTTATTTTTCACAACTTCCACTTCTCCTATATCATACTGTGTACATTCTATGCTCCATTTAGTAATGGATGTTTGCAGTTGTATCCCCCATTCTTTTTTTTTTTTTTTTTCCACTTCAACAAATGGAGATCCCCAAAACTTCCATTTGTGTCATCATGGTCAAGTCAACTTTGAGGAGACAACTCTACTCCAATCATATTTTCAGTGTCTTCCAAACTGAGAGGCTCATTATTCAACAGTATATCTGACAGCATTCTGGAACGATTCATCATATTTCAATATCCAATATTCTAGTGCTATCTGACAGTGTTTCACTGCCATTTATTAAGTTTTCAGTGTTTCAACATTGGGAATTAGTCTGCCTCTCCTTCTTCAGAGTCTGTCTTCATTTGAAAACTTAGTTGAAATTTGGCTATCATGGGTGACCTTGCCATCATTCAGCATCACAGCAACAAGCAAACCACTGCAGTGAGAGAAACTGACAGACAAGTGGTGGATTCTGTCTGCAAAATGAGCTAATAATCTGGGAAGTTGGATTAAATGAAGAAGAACATGGCACCAGGATTGGAGGAAGACTCCTAAACACCCTGCAATATGTAGTTAATATAACCATGCTTACTGAAAGCACAGAGGACTTAAAATACTGATGATGATCAAAGATGGATTAGATCTTAATGTAAAGAAAACAAAATTCCTCACAACTGTACCAATAAATAACATCTTGATAAATGGGAAAAATATGCTTAGATCCACTATTAACACAGATGGAATCAACACTCGAGAAATCAAGCCATATATTGTATTAAGCAAATTTACTGCACAAGTCCTCTTTAAAGTGTACATGTGCAAAGATGTCATTTTGAAGAATAAGATGCACCTAACCCTAGCAAGGGTATTCTCACTAGTTTCATATGCATGTGAAGTTTGGATAGTGAATAAAGATGACCACAGAAGAATTAATTGCAGCATTTTAGTTATGATGTTGGAAATAATATTAAAAGTACCATGGAATGCTAGAAGAACAAAAAAAGCTATCCTGAGGAGAGGCAGGGCTTAATGGTAGATTAGGAAGAAGTGCAATACAGACCTAGGGCAGCAATAACACAGAATACCAGATGAAGCAGGTTCAGGGGATGGTCTCAGAACTCTGAACTACATATAAAGGAATATTTGGAAAGTTCAAAGGCTTACAGCCAGTGGAATTTGTAGCAGAAGCAAGAAAACTGGTATTTTCTGATTTGCTGGTCCCAGCCACTCTAGGAGAAGCCATCTTAGGTGTGACAGAGTGGGCAAAGGAACAGAGGAGTGCTCCCACAGCAGATGTTTGACCCATCCTCGGAGATAAAGGTCTGGATAGTCTTTTTATTTATTTATACTTTTCCTGTTTATTAGTCTTTTACTGTTTCCATACCTGCACTTTGGTGACTAGAGGGAGTGCCTGAGCGAGTAGATACCCCCTCACCCCAAGAGGGTTCTACTATGCATGTGCACAGATCTGCTCAGCAGAATTTAAGAAGGGAAAAGGCACTGTTTAAAACCAAATTACCACCCAAAACAGCTACAGACAACCCATCTATTTATCACTAGGAAAAAGGCCTGAACCAGGGATATGGAGTGGAAGAGAGACATACGAGAAAGGAAACAGACTGGAAATTAAAATCTGAGTTATGTCATAAGAACCAACAGTGACATCTTGTATTTTGCAGGTGAAAAGCAAAGAGAGGGACATTAAAGTCATACTCATGTTTTGCTACAGAATTTTTTTTTTTTTTCTCTTTTTGGCGATTATAGATTATAGTATCCAATCTGGTTGCTTTGCTATTGAAGTTTTGTTTTTTGGTCACCATTTTATCTTCAGGGGACTCTTTTGCTCCCTATGTTACCCAAGAAGAGACTGCAATTGCAGTCATATAATCAAGCTACAATCACACCCTATAAAATCCCACCATCCAGGCAAGAGTCAATACCAGCTGCTATACACCAGATAGGCAGACAACACCTGCTACAATTACTCTGGGTTGAGTAATACAAAATTTAAAAGGGAAGCCCATAACCTGATCACATCTACCTAGAGGCAATCAGAAAGCAAAATAAAACATCAACATACTTCATCTAATTATTGAAATCACACCTAACTATTGAATATGCCCAAGAAATAGCTGACCATATTGGTACATGTACAGAAACAAGACAGAGTGACTGAAACAAATGAGCTGGAGACAGACCTAGATTTCAAATTGGAAGGAGGATTGGCTTGTGAAATGCCTTAAAAGTAATTGAGGATAATGATACTGAAATACAGCCAAGCACTCCACAGAGGGCTTGGGAAAGATAAGGAAGAAGTCAGGAAAGAGCTACAGGAACAATAAAATGAGATGGATACAGCATTGGAAACAGTTCAAAACCTGCAAGAAGAAGTCCAAATGATTAATAATAAAATATCAGAAGTTGACAATACACTGAAAGGGTAAAGGAATAGAACTAAAGAGATGGAAAGCAAAACCAGCAAACTGGAAAATAAGTCTCTCAAAACTGCCATGATAGAAGAGCAAGCAGGAAAAAGGGGAAATAATTCTGAATATAGTCTAAGATTCATGTGGAATATATTGAAGAGTAACAACTTAAGGCTTATTGACATTCTGGAACAGGAATTATATACAAATCCACAGGGGAGATAGTTGAAGAGCTGCTGGAAGAAAATTTTCCTAACATCCTGAAAAACAAAAAGATATGCATTCAAGAAGCTGAATGAAGCCCAGGAAGGATAGACTCCAAAAGAAAATCACCTAGACATAACATATAAAGCTCTCCAAAATTAAAGACAAGACAAGAATCCTGAAAGTAGCAAGGGAAAAGAGAAGTGTTACATACAAAGGTAAGCAAATAATATTAAGCTTTGATCTCTCAGCAGAAGCCATGCAGGCAAGAAGGCAATGGGAGGCATATATAAAACTCTGAAAAATAAGAAAACTACCAATCAAGAATCATCTACTCAGCAAAGCTATCAATCAAATATGACGTTGTAATAAAAACATTCCCTGATAAACAGAAGCTTAGGAATTTTAAACCCGTGCTTCAAAATATCCTAAAGATAATTATTTGGACTGAGAACCAAAAAGAATAGACAACAACCAGAGACTGACATACATGGCAGCACCATGCAGAACTCAATTGACAGATGGAAGAGTCCAGAATAGAGCAAAACTATAAGAATGAATTTAGTGGATCTGGGAGATCAGTCTATGATCAAAATAATCACAATGTGAAAGAAGGTCAAAACATAGGAACAGAGATCCATGTGGTAAGGAGGTCAGGGAGATTACAGGATAAAATAGACTATTTTAAATGCAGGCAAAAGTTAACTGAATATAAGGTAACCTCAAAGAAAACTAATACTTCACAACATACCAAGAAAATGAAAATCTAAGAAGATCATTGAAACTTTAAAATGATGAGGAAACTAACAAGAAAGAACACACAAAAAAACCATGAACTCAGCAAGGAAGGCATGCAGAACAAAGAAACAAGCAACACCACAAAAACAAACAAACAAATATGATGATAGCAATTAATTCATACCTATCGATAATTACAAGGAGCTCTGGTAGTGTAGCAGGTACGAGTTAGGCTGCTAACCACAAAGTCAGCAGTTTTAAACTATTAGCTGTTCCTTGGGAGAAAGATTAGTCTTTCTGTTCTGGTAAAGATTTATAGCCTCAGAAACCCTACGCTGGGTCACTATAAATCAGAACTGACTCCAGGGCACATCACCTCAACCACTGCCATTGATAATTGCACTGAATGTCAATGAAGTAAATGTGCCAGTTAAGAGATGGAGAGTGGCTGAATGGATAGGAAAAGAACAAACTTCAATATGCTGTCTGCAAGGAACATCATACACACAAAGACAAAAACAGACTAAAAGTTAATGGATGGAAAAAATATACCAAGTTAAATGCAACAATAACAGCAACAAAAAAGATCAGGATTGGCAATACTAATCTCTGATAAAATAAACTTTAAGCTCTGGTAACGTAGTGGTTACGAATCGGGCTGTGAACCGCAAGGTCAGCAGTTCATAACTACCAGCTGTTCCAAGGGAGAAAGATGAGGCTTTCTGCTCCCGTAAAGATTTACAGCCTTGGAAACCCTGTACAGGGTTGCTATGAGTCGGAACTGACTCCACAGCACATAACAACAACAATAACAACAAGGCAAAAACCAGCATACAAGATAAAGAGGGAAATTATCTCATGAGTAATGGGTCAATCGAACAAGATGACATAACTATAATAAATATCTATGCTCCTAATGAGAAAAGCAGACCATCAAAGTAATCCTACAGTCAAAAAGAAGAAATGAAATAATAAAGGTTAGAGCAGAAATAAACAAGATAGAAAATAGAAAATTTACAGAAAGAATCAATAGGACAAGAAGCTGGTTCTTTGAAAGCATTAATAAAATTGACAATGCATTGGCAAACCTAGCAAAAGAAAAGAGGGAGAAAACACAAAAAACATGCATAAGACACCACATGGGTGATATCACAACAGAACCAATAAAAATATGAAGGATAATAACAGAATATTATGTAGAGTTGTACTCTAACAAATTTGAAAATCTAGAGGAGATGGATACATTTTTAGAAAAGCACAACCTACCTAAACTTACACAGAGTGAAGGAGAAAACTTGAACAGACACATAAGTAAGAATAAATTGATCAGGTCATCAAAAAACACCCAACTAAAAAAAGCCCAGGTACAGATGGCTTCAATGGTGAATTTTACCAAACATTCAGGGAAGTTGTTGTTAAGTGCCATTGAGTCAGTTCTAATCCATAACAACCCTGTATAGGGTTTCTTTGGAGCAGCTGGTGAGCTTGAACTGCTGAAATTGCAGTTCAAACTGCTTCACAGTCTGGCACATTAACCCACAGTACCACACCAGGACTCTATTCAGGGAAGAGTCCTCGCCATTTGTACTCAAATTATTCCAGAATATAGAAGAGGATGGAAAACATCCTAAAACATTTTATAAAGTAAGCATAACCTTCATAACAAAACCAGGGAAGGACATCACTAAGAAAGAAAATTATAGACCAATATCCCTCATGAACACAGATGTAAAAATGCTTAACAAAATCCTAACCAAAGAATTCAACAACACATTAAGAAAATAATATATCACGATCAAGTGGGACTCATATCAGGGATGCAAGAATGATTCAACATTAGAAAAACCATCAATGTAATCCACCATATAAATAAGAAAAAGGAAAAGAACCACATGATCATGTCGATTGATTCAGAAAAGGCACTTGACAAAATCCAACATCCATGCCTGATGAAACCACTCAACAAAGTAGGTATTAAAGGAAGATTTCTGAACATAATTAAGAACATACACACAAAACCAACAGCCAACATCATTCTCAATGGAGAGAAACTAAAAGCCTTCCCTCTGCAAACAGGAACAAGACACCACTCCTATTCAACATTGAGCTGGAAGTCTTAGCAAGAGCTATACGGCAAGACAGGGAAATTAAAGGCATCCAAATTGACAAAGAGGAAGTAAAACTCTCTCTATTTGCAGACAATAAGATCCTATACATAGAAAACTCCAAAGACTCAGCAAAAAATACAACAACAAAACACTACTGAAATTCACTGGAAGATTTAGCAAAGTGTCAGGGTACAAGATCAACATACAAAAAAGAGTTGGATTCCTCTATAACTAATAATGACAGCACTGAAAAGAAAAATAGGAAAGCAATACCATTTACAATAGCCACCCTAAAGGATGAAACATTTAGGAATAAATGTAACCAGAGAACAAATGGCCTATACAAAGAAAACTACGAAACACTACTACAAGAAACCAAAAGAGACTTACAAAAAAGAAAACAAAGACTATACCATGCTCCTGGATACAAAGACTTAACATTGTGAAAATGTCAATTCTACCCAAAGCAATCTACACATATAATGCAATACCAATCCAGATTCCAACGACATTCTTCAGAGAGACGGAAAAAACAATCACAAACTTTATATGGAAAGCAAAGAGACTCGGGTAAGAAAAGTACTACTTAAGAAGAAGAGCAATACTGGAAGCCTATCACTCCCTAATTTCAAATTTTACTACATGGTTACAGTGGTCAAAATAGATTGATAGTGGTACAATGAAAGATACATAGATTAATGGAATAAAATTGAGAATCCAGAAATTAACTCATACAGATACATTCAACTGATCTTTGACAAAGGGCCAAAGTACATTGAATGGGGAGGACAAAGTCTCTTCAACAGATGGTGTTGGCAGAACTGGAAATCGACATACAAAAGACTGAAACAAGACCTTTACCTCACGCTATATTGAAAAACCAACTCAGCATGCATTAAAGACTTAAATGTGAATCCCGAATTAAAAAGGCCATCAATAAAAAATAAAAAATAATAGGGGATAATGTGAAAGCTGTAATACATGGCACACACAGACTACCAAACATTGTAAAAATGCCACAAAAACAAAAAGAAAATAATGATTTGGACATACTAAAAATTAGAAACTTATGTCCATCAAAAGATTTCACCAAAGTAGAAAAAAGGGAGCCCACAGAATAGGAAAAAAAAAACACCTCACAATGACATATCAGACGTGAGACTAATTTCTAAAATCTATATGAAATTACAACACTTCTGTAAGTAGAAGACAAATAACCCAATTAAAAAATGGGCACAGGGTCTCAGCTGAAGTCGCTCAGCTCAGCCCTCAGTGTTTCCTGTATCCAGAATCCCCCAGCCACGAACTGAAGATGCGGTGAGGAAGTGGGGTGGCCCCTCTGACCAGCCCAGCACCTCAGATGAGAGCTGCCCCCAGGCCAACCCCAGCCGCTCACCCGCCAGCAGCAGCCCCACATTCAGCCGTGGGCTCACCAGCTGCTGCTCCCAGGCAGCCAGGTCTGATGGCCCAGATGGCGACCACAGCGGCTGATGTGGCCGTGGGCTCTGCTGTCGGCCACATGCTGGGCCACGCCATCACCAGAGGCTTCAGTGGAGGAAGTCAAGCTGAGCCCACAGCAAGGCCTGACATCACTTACCAGGAACCTCAGGGTGCCCCACCAGCATACCAGCAGCAGCAGCAGCAGTTCGGCTCTCGCCACTATGAGATGAAACAATTTTTGGAGTGTGCCCAGAACCAGGGTGACCTCAAGCTCTGTGAGGGGTTAAGTGAGGTGCTGAAGCAATGCCGATTTGCAAATGGATTAGCATAATCAAGAATTTCAAGTTGAAGAAATGGAAAATTATCTTTCCTGACCAAGGTAACTTAGCTTACAACTACAATTGTTAGTGTAACATGTGCAGCACCAGTTAATCCTCTCCTCCCTCATCAACAACCCCCTTGCTTCACAATCACCATGGAGGAGAGCTTGGAGGTGAAGTTAAGTTTGGGGCAGGGCAGAAGTTTGTGAGGCCTACTTAAACTAGAAGTTGTGATATAATTGAGTTAATTAGAACAAAGTTATTTTCTAAAAAAAAAAAAAAAAAAAAATGGGCACAGAACAAGAACTTCACCAAGAAAGATATTCGGGCAGTCAACAAAATTGTAAAGAAATATTCACAATTGTTAGCCATTAGAGAGATGCAAATCAAAAGAACAATAAGGTATCATCTCACAGCAGCAATAACAGTGAAGTTCAAAAAAGCATAGAACAATAAATGCTGGTGAGGATGTGGAGAGACTGAAAATCTCCTCTATTGCTTGTGGGAATGCCAAATGGTCCAACCACTATGGAAAACTATATGGCACTTCCTCAGAAAGCTGGAAATAGAAATACCATATGAGCCAGCAATTCCTATACTTGGTGTATATCCACAAGAAATACGAGCCATAACACAAGTACATATGTGCACACCCAATGTTTATAGCAACACTATGAACAATAGCAAAAAAAATGGACACAGACTAAGTGCCCATCAATGGAAGAATGGATAATCAAACTTTGATAATATACACAAAATGGAATATTATGATACTCTGAAGCTACAAGCCACCACATAACATGAATGAATCTTGATGACATTATGCTGAGTGAAATTAGTCAGTCACAAAAGCACAGATACTGCATAAGATCATTATTGTAAAAGCTTCAGAAAATATACCTATACTAAGAGGAAAAAAATAAATCTTTGTTGGTCACGTGTCAGGGGCATGGGGTGGGGGTGGAGTTTGATGACAATAGAGCTCAGGGTTGAGAGCACACAAATCATAGTTCAGGTGTTGTGGAGGGCAATACACAAGAAAGGAAAGGGGATGGAAGAACAAGATAGATAGGAGAACACTGAGGCAGGTTCGTGTAGACTAAATGTGACAGAGGTAAATAGTGATTTATGCTCAACCTTGGTACAACAGGGCTCTATGATACAGGGACTGAGGCATAGTCTGAAGAGGGGAGATAATGTTAAGATGCTTAACTGTCTTATGAATATTGGTTTCCCTTGCCTAATTGTAAAATGGATACTTGAGTAGGATATAAAGGAATAGTGGGAAACAGGATTACAGAAAGCTTGTAAGCATGTCTTCAGTCTATAACTGACTGGGATACTTATTAGGGGGTTCTAGAACTTCCCCCATTGAATTTGGCTTCTTGCGGAGCCTTTGTAGTGTATAGGACCTTAGGTGGAATCCTGAGTCCCATTCAGAACCTTCCGAAGTGGAACATTCCTAATAGAAAGGAGAAGTACACCAGCCTGGAACAGTTAGAATAAAAGCAGATATATATTTTTTTTTCTTCTGTTTTTAATGTTTTCTTGTGAATTATGTGATATGTTACATGGGAGAACAAGTTTTACATTCATCCTACTGTATATCATTTCATTGTCATTGCTACAATCCCCTCCATGCATCATCAACCAACCAAAACATATACCCTGAAAGCCTGCCCCCCCGGGTCATCAGCACACAGCCCCTCTTCCTCTCTGGGTCTAAAGTCCGCAGCCACTCCATCTCTCCACATTATCATTGTCTCTGCCTCTATCTCTGGTGTCACGGATTATCTGGGTAGGGTTCCACTCTCTGCTCTTCTCCCTTGATGGTCCTAGAGAACTCAGCTCCTAGACTGCAAAGTCAATCATTCCCCTCCTTTTGCTACAAAACATCTACGTTTACATTTCCAACCCTCAGAGTCACTCCTGATGAACATTATTCACTATCGTATCACAAGAGAC